AAAAATTAACTGAAGTAAGCTGCAAGCCTATTCTTCGTGCGATGAACCCAGCTGCAGCTTCCAGTTGCCACGCTCCAACAACTCGGACTGGCCTGAAGAGTTGCCTCACATTCAAAGGGCAGTGTTTTGTAGGGCTCCCAAGAAGCTTGTGAACTTGGGTAAAAACTGCCACCTAAGGAAGCTTACCCTCCATTGCCCACCTATAAATATCAGTCGGTAGGAGAGCTTCCCGGGCAACATGGCATGCCAAGAAACTGACGGACAATGTCGAGTGCAGTGGCAGCATCGTCCTCAATGACCGCAGAAAGATGAACTCAACCCTTCGCCTGTCTTTCCGAGGCAAGGATTCATCCGCCCATTCACACTTCACCTCCTGCCGCCTGCACACGGAAGATACTACATAAGTACATATGTTCATTAAATTTGTTGTAATCCTTCAATGGCAATAGCTGTTCGCCTTCACACAGAAGATACTACATATGTTCATTAAATTTGTCCTAGTCCTTCAATGGCAAACTCAACAAGGGCGTAAACTGAACACCTCCACTGGCGGAGAGCTTCAGTCTCTGCGCGGCCTCGGCCTCGGCGAGCACCTTAATTTCGGCCACTGGCGCCCACATTCCGTCGAACACCTTGGAGGCGGCCACCCAGCGCATCCAGACGGTTCCGGCCATGGCCGCGGACCAGCGCGCCCACCCGGTACCTCTCCACCAGCACTTGCAGCTGCTGGTGCAGGATCACCTGCAGCCCCTGCACGTAGCGGCACCGCACCCGAGCCCCCACCTCCTCGGCGCCACACACGAAGTCGCGCGGCTCGTCGATTTCCTCTTCGAGGGGAGGAGCGGCAGGGGCGCGCGTGGGCGCGGGAGTGTGAGCGGGGGATTTGGTTGTTCGGGGGATGACAACTCGGCGGATGTACCGGTTGCCGGCCGTTGGGTAATCGTCGCGGTCGGCGGCGGTCACCTGCGTGGAGGCCTGGACGGCGTCGCACCGGCGGCACGTGAAGAAGCCGTTCTCTTCGTCGTCGGGACCGTAGGTGTGCGTGACGCGGGCAGACCAGGCGGATGCTCCCTCTCGCCGACCAGCCCGCACGGCCAAGACACGCCGCTCGCGACCTACCTCGCCGCCGCGCAGCTACCACCGTCGCCGTCGGGACCTGCCTGTCTGTTTAGATGCTAGATGGGCTGGACTTGGGCTTCTCTTGGGTACTGGGCTTTGGGCTAAATGCTGTGCAGTTTTGGGTTGTGGAGGACCGGACGGAGAGAGAGGCGCCTGTCCCTTCTCAAAAAAGAAGAAGAAGAGGGGATCATTTGCTCCACTTTACACGGGGT